TATGCTCTTCAGCCTAACTATCAGCCTGAACAAGACTGAAGTATTTTACCAGCTTATGCCAAATACCAACCCCATAGAACCAAAAATCACTGTTGATGACACCCAGCTGACAAATGTTAAAAGCCTCAAATACTTGGGAAGTATCATCTTGAGTGATGGGTCTTTGGACAAAGAAATGACTCCAGGATCAGCAAGGCCAGACAGGCACTGGGGTGGCTGCATAGTAGAGTGCTCAATCAACACAACATCTGTATCTCCTGAAAGTCTACAGAGCTGTGGTTATCCCTTCTCTCCTATATGGATGTGAGTCCTAGACACTGTACTAAAGGCAGTCAAACAACTGGAGAAATTTCACATGTGTGCTCTCCACTCCATCGTCAGTATTAGTTGGCAAGACTGTGTCTCCAACCTGGAGGTCTTAGATCACGCCGAGTCTACCAGCATTGAGTCCCTGACTATCAGAGCCCAGATGAGGTGGGTGGGACACATCATCAGAATAGATGACCACTGTATGCCTTGCCAGTTGCTCTATAGTGTACTGGAATTTGGGAAGAGACCTTGAGATCGACCAAGGAAGCACTACAAAGACGCTGTGAAAGAAACTCTGCACCACTGTGACATCCAGCCAAGGGAACCAGAAGCTGCGGCTACTGATAGAACCTGCTGGCAAGTCCTGTGCTGTGAAGTCTCCACTAGCTTTGAAAAGAGACACTGTCAAAAACTGACAGAAAACCATGAATGGCATCACAGAATAACACCCACAGTTACTACAACAATGGACTTCCAGTGCCCCCATTGTGCTTCCAGACTGGGACTGCAGAGCCACCTCCTGTGTCACAGATGAACTGCACAACAGCGTGTGTTCTTTGAACCTGAAGGACTACTAAATATCACCTGCCTTTTTGCAAAATGAGAAAGAGATCCAGTCTGTCAGAAGCTCCGCCTGGGGGGTGGGGACACAGAAGAAAAATGCAGGTCAAAACAGACTTGGAGGCTAAATCCTACGAAAATCAATTAAAAGAATGGGCATGTTTAGCCAAAAGACAAGAAGACTAAAAGGAAACATCCAGTACAGGTAGTCCTTGACCATTTGTTTAACAACTGTTCAAAGTTATGACAGCACTGAAAAAAGTGATTTACAACCCGTCCTCACACTTATGACCATCATCGCAGTGTCCCTGCGGTCACCTGATCAAAATTCAAGCACTTGGCACCTGGCATGTATTTACGATGGAGCATCCCAGGGTCATGTGATCACCATTTTTCAACCTTCCCAGGGGGCGTCTGACAAGCAAAGTCAGTGGGGGAAGCTGGATTCAGTTAATGACTGTGTGCTTTGCTAAATGACTGTGGCAAAAAAGGTGGTAAAATCGGGCATGACTCACTTAATGACTGCATTGATTAGCGACGGAAGTTCTGGTCCCAATTGTGGTCATAAGTCGAGGACTACCTGTACTTCCAAATTTGCACATGACACAAATGGGGATGCAATCATGTGGGTGTGAGGGATTGCTAATACCTTAGAAGGCAGGCTCAGGGCTATCACAGGAAAGAGGGTGTGGATTTATTCTCTTTAGAGCCCTAGGGTGGTAACAACAACAACAATAATAATAAATCCCAGGTCCTTGGGAAGGACTCGATAGGTGGATAAAAATGCCAAATCCAGTCTAAACAACTGGCTGACTGTGCGACCAACAATAATAATAGCATAGCAGAGGCTAGCAGATCAACATTGATTTATAATATGATGTAAAGTATTCACAGAAGTAGAATTGGAAGAACTGCAAAGGTCTACCGAGGGCAAAGAAATTGAAGCCTTGCCAGAAGTAGCTCAGACTATAGAGGCAAACCAGGAGG